TCTTTAAGAAATCTTCGCCAAGACCAACTGATAACACACGCTTATTCTGCAGACTACCGTGGATTATTGAAGAAAATCGAAGAGAAGTGGCCTTTTTCGAGCATTTCGTAGAATTCGGACCCTTGCTATATCACAAAGTATTGAAAGATTCGAGGGGATCATTAACCTTGGAATACGTCCAATACTAAGATGCAGCTGACGCTAACAGGGCAGTAGAAAGGTGTGATCCAATATATGGCGCAGAATTCGCACAGGTACGGAAACGACGTTGGAATCGGGATCATGAAACCAAACACCACTGGTTATGTGATGAACAAGACCATGACAGGACTTGCATGTGGCAGCATCAGAAAAGGATAAGGGAGAAAAAGGCTAACGAACGTTATCCAAAATCAGAAGTTAGAAGACCACCGTCACACTTTATAGTCGTAAGCACAACTAAAACCACAATTAACCCTGAACCCAAGGTAAATACACAATCGATCTCTTCAACCAGGACCAAACAATTAACCACCTTGATTCAGCAGCCCGCGAAGAACGCGAAGTCCATGGACCAAGCTGATATTCCACCTGAAGATGAAATAAGCACAAACATTGACCAAGCGCGAGAATATTTAGAAACTTATGTATAAAATGGGGCAAAAAGGGAGAAAGTTGATTACACTAAAACGTTATCTAAAGATAAATATTTTATAGCTTAAAGGAAATTCTTTCAAACTAAGTATGATCATCTTTGTCACTTTTGTTAATCTTAGTTATACACGCGCCGACGATTAGATAATACCTTGAATAAGTGCATGTTTGTAGATACTACCCGTGAACTAATTATAATACCCCGTCTAACGCTTCTCGTAGTACATTTCGCTTCCGATTTATCTATATTTTATCATTCATCTTTCTAAAGGACCATACTTAAAATTTACAGAAGATCTTTAACATGGACCCATGGCTCAGATATGACGTTGAGCCGATGTTTAATGAGAACTATGGTCTTACAATGGTATACATGGACCCCAATAGGAAAGCGGAAGCAATGTGGCTCGCTTGCCAATATGGACCTTTAGAGAAGATGATCGACGTGGTGATTCCCGAGAAATTCAGGGAAAGCCTAGGATGCACGGTCTTCTACTTTGTGAACTCCATTCATGCCCTGGAGGCAATCGAGCAGTTATTCAACGATTGAAAACCGTTTTACAAAGAAGTTCTAGGGCTGGAAGAGGAATAGCCGACTTATTATCAGCTTTAGAAGGCAATATTTGACGACTACGACCTCTCGGAAAACGCCAATGTACCAGACTCATCTGATGACGAGGATGAGCAAAACACCGGCCTGAGTAGTGCCGCTCTGGTCCCCCAAACAAAAAACCTTGGTCCTAAACACGATCGCTTAAATAGGATTCACTATATTATTATAGTAAGACTACCCTATAATTGGACCGAAGTAATGGCAAATAAAGCCTTACTAAAATTTGGCCTTATGGACTACATAAATTAAAGGGAAAGGTTCAATGGGGTTCGCCGCATTTATTTATACCTCTGACGCAGAAAGGGTGGTCGTGAATAAGCTTGGTCAGTATTTAAAAGCCAGACTTATTCGCCCCAAGATCGTAAGGTACGACAAAAACACGTTGGACCTCTATGAAAAACACGATCTCTGCAGCCACTAGATCACCTCTAATGAACGCAGCAAGCACGTCTTACTCTGCGATATGCAGATCGGAGGTAATTTAAGAAAACATTACTTCTGCGGCAGGTCCATAGAATTAAGAGAATGGGACCAGCACCTGGAGGACTGTAGTATTAGGAATTTTGATTATGTTAGTAAAGTAAAACCAGAACAAACATTAATCGACCTCGCTGGACCTACAGAATCAGCGGCAAGGACCAACAACACGGCGCAGGCCATCTCGGATGATTTAGCGCGGATAGAAATCTAGGACCGGGTTATTCCCTTATTAAATATATGTACACACCCCCTTCTTTATACGCTATCGTCAATTATAATAATGGACTAGGAATAAAGGACCTATATATTTACTAATTTAGTCACTAATTTATTCCTTACCGACCCATTGCAGACCCTGTGGCTCTTGATACATTGCCGAGGACGGCAACGATTCTAAGTGGGGAGGGATGTTACGTGATACTTCATTATGTTATAATTGTATTTTGTCGAATAATATCTCGGACACGAGATTTCCGTTCGGACATAGTATAGCTAGCAGTATTCGTGTGCGCGACTCGGTAGGAATGTGCGGCAGAGGCTGATTCACGCTGCGGCAGCATGCTGCGACAGTATGCTTTGGTCAGCATGCTTAGCTAGGTAAGAGAAGCGTAAACGTCTAAAGCATATGTGCGAGAAAGAGACGGAATGCGAGGAAAAAAGATATATCATAAACCGGCGAAAACAATGACCCCAGACAGAATTTGTCAGTTAGGAGTGAGTGCTCAACTAAGAAGCCTGCATTTTTTCTACTGAAGTTAAAACCATAATAAGAGTTTGAGAATATAATTGTTTGAGTTACGAATAAGTATTAGAAGTGTCGAGTACAATTGTTTTAATAATTTTGTGTAAACGAAAATCATAGGAATTATCATTTTCTTGCGTGTTGCTAAAGTATTGTATAAAAAATACATTGGACCAGTTGATCTGATCAGATTCAAAGAAAAAGTGATTGGGCACATCACGAAGCAAATAATATTTTGGACCAATTTATATTTATAATATTAATACAAAGTGAGTAATACTTTTTATGTAACCATATTGTTCATAGATAATAGACAACGCGAAGCGAAGAACACGCGTCTATATATAGCTCTAATCATTTTATTATCTCTGCTTTATCATTTATTCATGTACTTAATGTTTATAAAATAAATCTAACAAGTACTATTATAAATATAAACGCCTATAAGTGTATCCATATGCTTCCCCATTATATTAAAGAAAATCGCTATTACATTTTTCCTTTTAATAAACAAGCGAAAAATGTTATAAACGTTCAATTATTTATTCTACAATCGCGATATCGAGTGTTGGATTATAATTAACAGGGATTTCATTATTGACGCGCGAACGGGCCAGGGTGCCCGAAAGCCTGACTGCCGCCCGAGTTTGAGGCTGCTCGGCTGTTAAAAAGGCCTTCGTACGGGACAAACTCGCCTCGCGCGAGTTGTCACCCATCAAATATTGATACAACAAATTCAGTTGCTCCTGTTTGTATATGTACGCACAATTTATCTTGCTGTATACGTTGTATTTTTTAAATTGAAGTTAAACTATTTACAATTACGTTCTCTTCGATAGATATTTTTTTGTAAAGTGTATATTCTCTTCCCATATTTATATCAATGATAAATTTCTTTACTATTATAAATATTTCATAAATTAAGCATACAAATAAATTATCAGATATACAACATATTTCTCTACTAAATTTAAAAAAGCACTTGTATTAGAATATTCTATAAAAAGCTTGTAAAGCAGTTATTAAAAGAATTAAAAACTTAAGAAAAATTAGTTTCACAAGTTTTGGTTACCCGAAATATTAGCACTTTATATCTGCTATGGACAGCGTAATAAGGTTCTCTGCTTTTTTAATTTCTATATGTATTATATTATCTTGTAATATTAAATAATAGTCTTCCACATGTTGACATCAATCATATATACTGCTGAGAGTCTTGGATATTTTTGACTAGAACAGGCAATAATGCAAAATGCTATAAAACGAGTTGTAGCGGTCTCATGATTTGACCATCCATATCTAGATGGCATCGGCCAGCCACGAGCGGCAAGAAATACGCTCACTGAATATATAAGTCCGCATAGCGACACAAGCACTTCGAGCGTATGAGGTAGGTGTTACCGGCCGTCGAGCCTCACTCACGAGCCCAGCCTGTAGCATCGGGACGAAACGCTTCCTACCTTACCAACCGCCCGAGTGTGAGCCTGGCTACCTCACACTGCGACCAACCTTTTACTTGAGACTCCTCGTATACACGAATACATGCGCAAACATTGCCCATTAGCCAAAAAGCAAAAATGGGACTATTAGGACGCTTTTCAAAGCCTAAGATAATTGATTCTGATTAATAAATAAGTTCAGTAGGAATTTAAAAATATTTTATATGTTAATGAAGACTATTGATGTATCGCTTTGGAATATATTAAGGTTTTCTTGCTACATCGAATTAATAGCTTCGTGATTGTTATATAAATTGTAAATTGATAAAATGCATAAAGTCTGATATAAATTATACAACAAGATCAAAATTGTTTAAATTCAAGAAAGAACTATCTTTGTTAACACAAAAAGTTGCTAATTCAGAATTCAACGTATTCTGTGCATATCTAAACATTTCTTCAGTTGTCTTTTTCTGTGAAATCTCGTTTTAAAACGGATATTTAAATGCACTTCTAATTTTATGCAAAACACGTTCACCTAGATCGAGGCACCAAATGCAGATAAAGTATCCATTTAATTGCTGTTGTAATCGCATCATCATAGAAATATATTTTATAATTTCATTTCGTAATTCAAAGTCGACTGTATTCCGTCTTGTGATAAAACATTCATATTATCTACAAACGGAGGCAGAAAATAGGTTATATTTGGCTTTTTGTGGATAAATAAGAGCGAATGAATAATACTTTTCTGGTTACGATCGTGTATACGTAGGTAATTCATTGACCCTAATTGAATTCCACACGAGTACTTCAAGATCTTGAATAAAGGTGAACTACCACTATTGAAAATAGTTACAGCGTATGTTATCTTGTTTCTGATTTTTAAAGACAATTGTTTGATAGAAAACGTCATTACTTTTTATGAGTTTTCTTATTCTGTTTGTTATATCAATAGCTAGAAAAAAATTTTTATATGATTGATTTTATTAGTTGATATCTACTTGATAAATTTCACAAAAAAATTATTTGTATATTCTTTTAAAAATATTTACATAAGATTTAAATTTAATAGATGTAGAAGATTTTATACCTCCATCAAGATAGAATAGTTTGTCAATTAAGTATTGAGTAGCGAAGTACACGCTGATAAAAGAATCAATTCATCATTTTGAAAAAGTTAGGTGCAGCTATATTTCGCAAACCGAACGTTTCTGAAAATTCTGTAACAGCTAAAATTCTTTCTACTTCACTGACAACTGTATTTGCAGCAAAAGTATCATTAGTTTCATTTTCATCTGATAAATCGATTAATTTTTAGAAGTGACTCCAATCATTCATTTACTCTTGACTAAATGCCTCGTATTCTTCAAATTCACCACCATCGTGATTATCAGTATACATATGATCTTCGATGGCTTGTGAATATACAGAGTCCTGTAAAGAATACGTGGAAATTTTATACATACGCACATGTATAAACAAATATATATAAATATATTTTGTAGTTCGTACCATGGAAGAAATAGTAATAACAATATTCATTACTCATATTTTCTGACAAATACAGAATCAAAATATATAAAAATGTAAATAATACATAAAGCATTTTACCAATCATTTATATAAATTAATAAAACAATTTTACTCATGAATGTCCAAATTATTAAATAAAGTATATACATTGTTTGAACAATGATTTGTAATTTGCGATATTCATAGCTAATCGTATTCATTGAACATCTAACAATAAATCTAATTTAGCTACCATAATTTTGTATGGATACTGTTTCAATTACGTCTACTTTTGAAAGTTGACTTTAAAGTTTACTACGTCAATACACAGCCCTTAACTATCTAATACACTAGCCTAAATACATAAGCATGATGACAAGGGTAGTAACATATGTTTTAAAGTGCTTGTCAATATAAGTCAAAATCAGAAAAGCCGAAAATTACTATGAAAAGTTAACAATCTTGTGCAGAGAAATGTCTATATTTATCACTCAGCACATCTCCATCAACAAACAATTAGAAATCAAAACCGCATGTGTTATTGTGTTATTATGACTTCAAAAACTACGTCCATGTGGAACGCTACAGAGATATAACTAGGTACTTGTGGTAGAAAAGTATTAATCATGTATAAATTCGGCAGTAAATTGGTAAAAGTGATACCCGATATTACAAGCCAAAAGTCATCTTGTGCCAAAAGCTCTGTGCAAAGTGGGTGCAGTGCAAGCTCACAATCGACCAAAAACAACAACAAATTGATAATCCTGAACTGTGTTTGGAGCTGTTCTATCATAATAAGTCCGAAGTTTTACGTCAATATGTGGAAATGGATGAAACATGTCTCCATCATTTTACTCCGGAGTTCAATCGACAATCCAATCGACAGCTTATTGAACTGCACGCGATGAATCGAATCCAAAGCGTGGAAAGACTCAACAATCGGCTGGGAAGGTTATGGCTTCTGTATTGTGAGATGCGCATGGAATAGTTTTTATCATCTACCTTGAAAAAGGAAAAGCCATCAACACCGACTATTATATAGCATTATTGGAGTGTTTGAAGGACGACATTGCAAAAAAACGTCCCCATTTTAGGAAGAAAAAAGTGCTGAAAGAAATTTAAGACCGATGAAGAAGTAATCCCTGAAACAGCGGCCTATTTTGAGGCTATGGACACATCGCCTTACAAAAATGGTATTGAAAAGTTGGAAGATCACTATAATTCCTATATCGTCTCGATGGCAACTATGTTGAATATAAAAAACCAATTTTGCCAAAAACGTGGTCAGTATAAAAAAAGACGGCACTGTTCGCTTTTGTTTAGACGCTAAATAATTAAATATAAAGTTAGTAAAAGACCAGAAAGCCCTAGTACATATAGATGAGATATTTCAACAATGTTTTGGCATAAAATATATGACTAGTTCCAATCTAACCAGCAGTTTTTGGCATATTCTTCTACATAAAACAGTAGAAAGTATACAGCCTTCATAATAGAAGACAATACATATAGATTCAATATGGTACCGTTCGGCACATGAATTAGTACTTCAGCCCTCGTAAGAGCATTAAATCTCTCAATTAGCAAATTAAAACAATTTGTGATACCCTTTGTCGACGACATTCTATGTATTTCCAAAACTTTTGACGAACATTTATTTCATTAAGAACATTATTTAAGTGTTGTATTAGAAATAATTACACGATATAATTTTCAAAATCATATTTAGTTAAAAACGAAATAAAATTTCTAGGCTATTATTTCTTCATTGAGAATAAAAGCTCATAAAGAGAAACTTAAAATAATACAAAATTATAAAGCTCCTAAAGATATTAAAAGATTACAGAATTTATTTGGTTTTGTCAATTTTTATATCAAATTTGCAAAAAACTACTCTGAAACTTGTAAGCCTCTAATTGATTTACTTACACAAGGTAAAGGGTACAAATGGCTACTTGCGTATCAACAGAAAATGTTAAGAAATTATTTATTAATACTATTATTTTAAAATATCCTGACCCTAATAAGCTTTACATATTAACCACAGATGCCACCTACCATAATGTGGCCTCTGTCTTCTCTCAATTAAGTGATTCAGGAGAGAAAGAAGTAATAACTTTTATATCGCACTCACTAATGGGCTCAAAACTTAATTATTTTACCACCGAAAAGGAATTTCTGGTTATTGATTGGAGTTGCTTAAAATTAGAAACATATTACGAGGTGCTAGGGAAATTATTGTAAGAACTGATCACGAAGTGCTAAAATTTACTAATTCGAGATTAATAAGATTGAGTCTTTTTCTACAAAATTTTAACATTACTTAGGAACACATTCTGAGAAAACAAACGCAGCAGCAGGCTTTCTATCAAAATGTTTAGACAAGAATGACTACGAAAAGATTAAAAAGATTTCTAAATTTTTATGAAGGACCGTACATAATTAAACGAATAAAAGGTCTAGATACTTATCTTCTAGTTATGCAAGAGAGATCAGCCACTGTGCGCCTTGAGCTGGTCTCTGCTAAATTTTACTGGGTTCTTTCTCAGTAAAAAAAGCCGGCGCTGACTTTCACATGCCGACGTTCGCTCTGGTTGAGGAGGATGATTCAAATAATCAGACATTTTGATTAACTAACATTACATATGGCGATCTCATTTATTGACGCTCTTTTACAAATAAACGCTACAAAGTTAATTTACCGTGGCGAGTGCGCTCGCTCAGCCTCTCGCGACCAGAGTTCGCGGGATCACGCGAGCGAGATCGCTCAGCATGCGTAATAAAATTACGCTTGATAAATTTGAATCTGTAAACGAGCGAGAGCTGACGCGAGAGAGAGTAAACTGGCGTTAGACCCACCGGGTGCCGATGGTCCATCGGTAGAGAGGCGACGCCGCGCCGGCGAAAGCGGAGACCCGCAGCACGGCCTTTACTCTGTGGTCGACGAATGATCGCTGCGGGGACTGGCTCTGCTTCCCAGATAGCTTCTCCTCCCTGACAGATATAATTGTCACATCAGTGGAAGTGGTTCCTCTGCAGCAGGAACTCTGTCCAGGAAGATCCTCTCTAGGAGGGCTTAATTACTCGAGAGCTCGCGCCTAACTGCCCTTCTTCTCTCTTACTTTCTCGCCGTCAAAAATCAGTCAAAATCGCTCTCTCTCTCTCTCTCTCTCTCTCTCGCTCTTCTCGCTCTCACTCGCACTCACGGCGACACTTCGCCGATCGTTGCGCTCCTCTCTCCAGATCCTGCAACGACACAAGTATGTAGTCGCTATATAGCGTATACTCGGTCGCTGCGTTCACGCGAGGAGAGTGCCACACTCAGGGCCAGCGAGCATCGCTGTAGCCCTGTCACAGTTATCCTAACGGAAAAGAGAGGTACATTTCACACAATAATATAAAGTCATACGTAGAATGACTGAAAGGAGGAGACAAGTTACCTAAACACAAATTAAAAGTTTCTATTGTATATAAGTGGGTTTTTTGAGGGTATGGACAAAGAAAACAAAAATGCTCTTGAAAAAGAGCGTCGAAATGTAGACCGATTCCTCCGATCTGCACCTCTCTCCATTCACTATCAAGGAACTACCTCGACCATCTTCAGTCAAGGCAACCCAGACGCCATCCAGATGGTTCATCTGCGACTCGCCTTTGGCTTTCCCATCACGACCAGGGATCATCGTTAGGTGTATCCAGTCCATACCCGCACAAACGGCCGATCCTTCCTCCCTTCAACTCAATGAGCGGCTGTCTCCATAGAAAATGAAGAGAAGAAGTAACAAACTTTCCACACTCGAGAGAAAAATAAAAATGCAGGCCACCAAGGAAATCACCGAGCGCTTAGGAATGGGACTAAAAAAACGAACCAAATTTACCACTATTATTAAGATGTAGTAGTTTAATCACTCCCTTGTAGGTAAACTAGGCAGGCCATAGATAAGGGGGGCCTCAGATCATGGCGGGGAGGGGGGCTCAGATCAGTGATCTGAAGTGCATGATCTATGAGATCAGCACTCTTAGATCAGGCTTCCCATCTCCTCTTGAGATTAGGCGCCCTCGCCGCCACCCCCTCTGTGATCTGAGATGTATAAGGTATCAGATCAGTACTGTTAGATCATGCACAAGAGCCACTCCCCCTTCACACCGCCCTCCGAATGTGAAATGCGTTTTAAAAATCAAAATAAATTTATGTAATTAATGGCATTTAATTAATTTGATGCAATTGATTTATGTGTAATGCATAGATTTAGTGAAAAAAATTATATACTGATTATTAATTCATGAAATAGTGAAGTAGAGGGGGGGTGATCATAAATATATACATTGTTCTTTTTTAACGCTTACATTTTTCACTTTTCATAAAATCAAGTAGACGAATTTTTTGAATATTCGATGCAGTAACGTATGGCATAAGCCATTCGATGTGTGTTATATTGATCTTGAACTTTTCGATGATTGTTTCTAGTTCAACTGATTTTGTTATTTTGTAACGAAAGCTCGTTCGTTAACTATTATTTAAGGTGGGCAAGTGAGGCGCACTCGCTCATAGCAATTGAGGTGGGAAGGGGGAAGAGGCAATTCAATAAAAATGGTTAATAACTTTATACACACAAACACATTCGCATTTAAACAAATATAATTATATCAAACAAAAGTTAAATTACACTTAAAACTTCGCAAATACCGCACATTAACAAACCGCATAGTGATAAGCCGCATTACACACACTTTAATCGAATAAACACAATGACGTCCTTAACAACTATTACAAAAAAGAGCAAATTAACTAACTTATCGCGCCTACAAATCTATAGAAAACATAACACGCGTCGCCCGGCAGATGACCGCCTTGACGACGAACCGACTTAAGTTATTTAGCTAAAAGAGAAAGTCGCCCGGCGAGGGATCGCCTGGACGATTTC